ATTGGTCCACTTTTTGCTTTAGCTACATGTAATTAGGGGATGTATTTCAAACAAACAATAGCCTCCAGCAGTCGTTCCCTTCTGCTTCTCCTCTCTATTCCTTACCTGCACCTTTTTTTTTTATTTCTTGTTACTWARSYTWTTTTTTTRGSYYCYWWTKGKYMAMYWYTTTTTTTTMRGRRGGWAAARAAGCCCGACTTTTTTTTAGGCTGCGAAGKAGACTTATTTTTTTTTTATAACTTTTCAGAAATTAATATTTTTCTCTGAAACTTTGAGAACATATTTTTTTSTTTGATATCTATCACCAGATTTTTTCCTTTGTGAACATTATGAATTTAATGATAATATGCTTATTGGTGTCGGCCATTTTTTTAGCTGTCAATAACACAAATGCTTTTTTTAATGCTAAATGCTGCAAAAATTTTTTTTTCAGAATGATGGGAAAAGATTTTTTTTTCAGAATCTATCAAATCCTAAATTTTTTTTAGTAAATCATGATGCTGATATTTTTTTTGTTCCACTAAATATTTCTATACAGAGAACATTTTTAGCTTAGTGTGACTTTTTTTACGGTGTGTTCCACRAAGTGGTTTTTTTTGAGAAAACTTTTGTAGCCCCCTTAAATTAATCTGCAAACTTTGATAACTTTTTTTATTAAGGTACTCAATTTCCCTCAAACCATGCACACCAGTACATTGTATATTTTTTTGATATTATTATTATATTAGCTTTTTTTTTTATTATTCACAGCACTCAAATTTTTTTTATGATATTTTAATTTTTAATTTCAGCAAGTAATTAACTTATGTTATTATTTTTTTAAATCAACACCGAAATTCAACTTTTTTTTATTTCTAGTGGCAATTCAGGTTTTTTTACGTTATTTTAGCATGCAGATTTTTTTTTGGCATGCTACAATTGTAGATTTTTTTTTTAAAAGAGCTAAAATAACAATTTTTTTTCAATCACTATTATAAGTACATTTTTTTTAATTATTTACGGCACATTTATTTTTTTTTAAATAAGTTTAATTATGTGTTTTTTTAGGCTACAATCAATTTAATATTTTTTTTAATTTAAGGCTTTAAAAAAATTTTTTTTGATCTAGCTTTGTGACGGACATTTTTTTGAAACAGGTGTGCGTAGCAACTTTTTTTCGCAATTTCCGACATAACTGCTTTTTTTTTAGTAATAGGCTAAAGTTACTTTTTTTTCTTTATAATTGTTGGCCCTGTTTTTTTCAAATCAAGATATGAGAGTTTTTTTTTTAACCTGAACCAAAGAAATGCATTTTTTTATAAAAGCTAATTTGCTTGCTTTTTTTTCTACTAGATATTATTCATACCTTTTTTTACCGTCGGCTGTACGTGTTAGTTTTTTTGCTGTCCTTTTCCTGCTTTTTTTTTTTTTTCATTATCAACTAACTAAAATTTTTTTTTCGCGAAACATCTCATCCAATTTTTTTTCTTTGGTAAACTTGTAGAGATTTTTTTTTTCAAAATTATATCAATCCATTTTTTTATACGAGAGAAATTCCTGAACTTTTTTTTGCGTTTGTGATGTCGCCGATTTTTTTTGTATGCTGCTGTGTTCACAGGTTTTTTTAGCACTGGGTATTAAGCTAATTTTTTTTAGTGTGGTTTTTGGCAATTTTTTTTTTTATATGATTTCAATAAAAGGAATTTTTTTTACCTGTGTGTTGTGTTTTCTTTGCATTTCTGTGAAGTTTCAGGCATTTTTTTTTTTAATATTGAGCTGTTGCTGCTTTTTTTTCCTAGTCCAACAAGAGATCCATTTTTTTCAACACACCTGGTTGAAATGTTTTTTTTTTGTTGTTGTTTAATTTATTATTTTTTTTTTTTTGTTTATTATTCTGTTTTTTTTTTATTGAAATTTATATTTCGAATTTTTTTTGAAAACCACAGTACCTATCTTTTTTTTCTTGTGCCGAGGGGGACTGTTTTTTTTTTGGGGCCTCTTCAAACGAACTTTTTTTTTACATTGAGATATTGTGACGGTTTTTTTATCAAGAGTCACAAATGAATTTTTTTTTTACAAAAAAATATTAGTTTTATTTTTTTTTATTCAAGTACCGTCACTGTTTTTTTTCTCACTACCGTGACGGACTTCTTTTTTTGGACTTTGATCGGTTGCACACTTTTTTTCCTGATCATTTTTTCTCCTGATTTTTTTGATTGGTCAATTAGTCTGTGTTTTTTTTATTACGACACTTGCGATTGGCTTTTTTTTCTCCTGACTCTTTAACATTGCTAAAGAGTGGTTGTGAAAGGCGCGCCAAACACTTTGATTTTCACCGAATTTTGAAGGAGTTTCCCGTTTTTGCTAATTCTAAATTTTTTTTAAGACTTCTATAGCTCWTTTTTTTTTTTTCAGAGTTTCCCAGAGTATTTAACAGGTGAATAGTGAATTCCATTTTATTTTTTTTTGTTACGCCACAAACAATAGTTTTTTTCATACGTAGATGGCCGAGGATTTTTTTTACAATTTACGAAGAAGGAGAATTTTTTTGAGTACCGGCGATGATCTGTATTTTTTTGGAAGTGTAACAATTGAAGGATTTTTTTACTCAGATTCGTCGTCTCAAGTTTTTTTAGAAGATGAAAATGAAGAAGATTTTTTTCTGTTAAACGGAGGTGTAAGCTTAGTTTTAACTGAAGCCGAAGAAAACGTTTTTTTAAATAATGTGGAGAACGTTGATTTTTTTGTCACTGCAAGCGATCCTGAGTTTTTTTGGACAGCAGAGCAGYGTTCTATTTTTTTGAATGAAGACGAAAAAAATATTTACAGTGATAGTGAAAGTGATGATGTGTTTTTTTGTTCCWCCGATTCCAAGAACATTTTTTTGCTTATCATCCATCCAGACATTGAAACAGCGAAGGTAAAAAAGCTCATCTTTTTTTTAAGCTWATAAGCAATTGAAATTTTTTTGAGACCGATTTTGGATAACAATTTTTTTTGCAGGCTTTTATATTTTAAATTTTTTTCAATTATAAGTCCTGTAAAATTTTTTTTTTGAACAGTGTCAAAAATTTGTTTTTTTTTATTAGTTCGAGTGCTGCATTTTTTTTTACTATAAATATATAAGCTTATTTTTTTTGTATGAAATCGACAAAGTTCAAAAAAATTAAGCTCAAACATTAAAATCTTTTTTTAATTCAAGGATTTATATATTTTTTTTTTCAGTGATTATTTCATTTTTAATTTTTTTCACGTCTGGATACGAAATTATTTTTTTTTAAGGATGCCATGCATAATGATTTTTTTCTATGAACACAAATATCCACATTTTTTTTTTATTGCGAATTTCTTTAAATTTTTTTATTAAATCCTTTTGTTCATCATTTTTTTTAAAACCATAGGTATTTCAAATTTTTTTTTTTTGTTTTAACAATTACTATTTTTTTATGTTCCAGCTCAACAAAAAATAATTTGTAGACATTCTGCATTTCATAATTTTTTTAWGAGTTTTCAAGCATGAAGCTTTTTTTTAGTAGGACAAGATAGTTCTATTTTTTTCCAATGAAATTCAATAAACTGTTTTTTTATGCTTTTAATTGTGTTTTTATTTTTTTTGTGATTAAAACATGGTCCTAGTTATCTAAACACTTAGTGATATGGTACTTTTTTTGAAGACCAAATGTAATGAATTTTTTTTTGTGTGAGCACCCTTAACCGGTTTTTTTTTGCATACATTATTAGATAAACTTTTTTTTTCCAGCTTAATCAAGTCAATTTTTTTTGCCATTACATATTGATTCATGAAGAATGGATTTTAAAGTGGTTGTCATAGAATAGTTATGTTAACATTATTTGATATTTTTTTTTACTCTATGTGTTGATGATTTGTGCGAAGTACCAAATAGCTATGAAATATTTTTTTATTTACTGCAAATAATCTACATTTTTTTAAGCAGGACACAGCAAGGGATTTTTTTTTGAACTGGGATGACTAAAGTATTTTTTTTTTCTTTTTCTTTTTAACTTGTTTTTTTAACTTCTGATATAAAATGTTCTTTTTTTGAATACCAGAAAAATTGATAGTTTTTTTTTATCATATGTAAAACTGAAATTTTTTTTGAGGCATCCAATAACAAAATTTTTTTTATTATCCGGTTCAAAAATATCTTTTTTTTTCTTGTTGATGAGATATAAATTTTTTTGTCTTTATGTTTTCCTTTTTTTTTTTTTCTAAATGTGAGCTTGCGTTTTTTTTTTTTGCAAAACGATTTCCCGGATGTTTTTTTAAGCAGTTATGACCAAATTGGCGGGAATCTCTGTGCTTGGATGCACTTGTTTTTTTGCAATCAGACAGCTTTTCAATTTTTTTTTTGGACTCTTCCATGTAAACTTGATACTTTATAAACAAACCGAGTCAGATTTTTTTAAGAGAACTTAAGTAAGGATATTTTTTTACATAAATTACCGTATAACACTTTTTTTACTGATATTAGCTGGCTTCCTTTTTTTTCACATGATGCAAAGAAGTTTATTTTTTTACTGACATCATTGTATTAGGCTTTTTTTACACTAGTTTTTTCATATGAGTTTTTTTCAAACATATTTTTTCATATTTTTTTTTTTATTCTACAGTTTGATTGACTTTTTTTTTGTTTAAACTTGAAGTATCTATTTTTTTCAATTTATTATCATGGCTTGTGGCATATAACGGTGTTGCAGGAAATTGTTTTTTTTACATTATACCCTCATTGTTCATCGTAGGAACGTTAGATGAAGATAAATATTTTTTTTTGTTTTTTGCAGTGTTATTTTTTTTTTCCCATTTTTTATGCTATTTTTTTTTTTTAATTCTAAAAGGCGACGAGAGTTTTTTTTTCTTTGTTAAAGCAGTAAAGGAAAATGCACATGATGTTGCAAAGAGAATTTTTTTAAATCTTAATGAAGCTTCTAATTTTTTTCAGGATAGTTTGCAAAGCACCTTTTTTTAGGTCCATGTCATGTACAAGATTTTTTTAGATAATATGTCAGAGACTACTTTTTTTTTCAAATCTAATATTGGTGAGGCATCAGAAAGAGTACAAGACAGTTTACAAAATACCTCTGATAAGATACAGGTTATGTACAAAAATGTCAAAGACAATGTATCATTTTTTTTGCATGAGGCCGGGGAGAGAGCAGACAAGATAAGAAAGGCAATGATTGATTTTTTTCGCTCAGGCTGGTATTTATTATTTTTTTTGGAGCTACCTCATTGGCTGATTTTTTTTGAATATCTCTCTGATAGTCATTTTTTTCCATTGTTTTCATTCAAATCATTTTTTTAAAGCATATTCAAAATACACACAGAAACAGGAAATATCTGGACACACTTTTTTTTTTGCCTGTTATTCATTGCTCTTTTTTTTTACTTCTATTTGAGACCRATAATTTTTTTTAACCCGTTTCCAAATGACTGGTCAGAAAAGCTGGTCTTTGGTGCTTTCTTCACTGGTGCTATTCTGTGTCTTGCATTTTTTTTAATCTTTCACACAGTGTACTGTTTTTTTCATAATGTCTCAAAGATATTTTTTTTTTAAGCAAACATTACAAATCTTCTTTTTTTTTATGTGTAAAAATATTTTTGTTTTTTTTTAACCAGTGATATTAAAGATTTTTTTTTGTACACTGACAATTGTTGCATTTTTTTCATTCAAATATCACTCCAAGGTTTTTTTTATTTTCTCTAATTCGTGCTATTTTTTTGACTTTGACAGTTGGTTTGTTTTTTTTTTTTGGTTGGAAGCTGTGCTGCTTTTTTTCGATAAATGAGTTTTTTCRTGTTTTTTTCAGCCTTTTTGCCTTTAGTCATTTTTTTACAGACATCATTAAGTTTGTATTTTTTTAAGGAGCTTACTWGCAGAAAGTTTTTTTCTTGGTGTGTGACTTTTTAAGTTTTTTTGATTCTGYGGTTGATTYGATTTTTTTTTCTAACGTTAACCCTACCCTACTTTTTTTCCTAACCATTCTAAYYSWARSTTTTTTT